CCGGTGCTGCGCGCCGGACGTGGTCGCGGGGGCCGGGGGTCGGCTCGGAATTGAGATGTGGCTACGCGGGGCCGGGCTCTGATCGCTGCCGCCAGCTCCGCGCACTGGAGCCTGAGCCCCGCCCAGAGCCCCAGGAGCCACCGTGTGCCTGCTGCTTCCCGGGATCCGGAACGCCGCCCCGAGTTCCTGCAAACCAGGTGTTTACTTTGGGCCGAGATTTTCTTTTACCCACTTGGGTATCCTCTGGGCGGCCCTCTGATAAATCCAGCCACACAAATGTATTATCACAGTAACAAAATAGTCTTTTAAACTGCCAGGTTCCTTTTCGTGTGTAGTTTCCCAGTGTACCGTGAAAGGTGTTTCCATTGCTAACTCTGCAAATGGGGGGTGTTCCAGTGAGTGAGTCCCAGGCAGTTTTGGCAAAAACCAGTCTCGATTGAGCACCAGAGATTATAATGGTCTGATGAACTACCATTCCATTTTAGCCTCTTGTATGTGTGTTGTGAAGAGAATCTTAACTATCTTATAAGCCACAGTTTATTTATTTTTGTGTGTGTAGTTGAATCCACTAACTTTGGAGTCAGTGTTACCAAAAGGACCGCGTGGTGGGTGGGATCGTTGGATAAGTTTTCCTGTCATCTAAATTTGATCACTTGTGTTTACATCTTACACATAATTGGATCTGTTGGAAATTACAAACCTGAAGTTAAATCCAAGCAGTCTCCCTGACACCACTTCTCTGAACTGCGACCACTAAGGAAGGTACATGGCTTACAGGTATTGGGGACAATGTGATTCCCACAAAATGCTAGTAAGGGGATAATTCTGGTGTGCGTTTCTGGAGGGGGTGAGGGGTGAGAGCTGGCAACTAGAAAACTAGGTTGACAAGGAGATATTTCTGCCTATGTACCTAGCAAAGAATAGAATTAAGGCTCTGTTTTGTTTTGTTTTGTTTTTAATTGTCGAAGTGAACATACACTTGCCAGAGAAAGAGAAAGGACAGCCCCTCATGGGGGGGGCAGGTGGGGAGGTGATCATAGCTGCATTGGGCGCAGGCGCACGTGCTAGGTGTTTGGCAAACCACTAGGGCCAGGACTGAAACCCTGTGGGCCCTTGGGATCCTGCACCACATAGCACTTAACTGCTATGCTGTGGGGCTGGCCCAGGGTTTTCAGTCTTAAGTCTGGTAATTCTAAATTCCTTCATTGGATAAATGTTCTTTGAAAGGCTAATACTGGGGGACCAGCATATGGCACGGTGGACTCCCACATGGCTGAGGATGGTTTGAGTCCCAGACCTGGTGGCTTGCTTTCTCACTTTCTCCTCCTTTTCCCTCTCTGATAAAATTAAAATATATAAAATAAATAAATTCAATAAAATAATTCTTTTTAAAAAATAAAGGCTAATACTTGTTAGGTTTTCCCTTAGATCTGGGGGTATATATCTTAGAGCTCCCAGTTTGGTGAGAATACATTTGTAGTTGAGGGGAAAAAAACAAAATAGAAAGCCTTCCTCTACCTTGTTAGGTTTCGCATTTGGGACCCTGGAAATTAAACTCATAAGGCAGAGTAATAGAAAAGGTATGCAAATTTCATTTTACACATCCTGTGATGTGTAAAATTATTAAAAAAAGATTATAGAAAAATTATAGAAAAAAAGAGTCAAGGAAGTTAATAGACATGAGAGGTGTGCACAAATTTTACCAAAAACATTATGTGTTAGAGATATGGCAAGACAAAGGAGAAAGCTTTTGTCCTCCCAGGGCTGTAAACCGTGGGAAGATAATATGTGGGGAACTAATGGATGAGAAGGACCTTTTCAGTGCGCTTTATTGTGCAGATCCATCCTCAGTGCCGATTTTCTGTCTTCGGGACCAAAAGCCTTCCCTGGGGGAAGGAATTTATGTTGGTCCTCCTTTAGCAGACGTTTCTGCTTTCAGTTAGAGAAGAAAAATTCTGGAAAGGTTTCTATCTGCATCTGTTGATTCTCAGTTGTCTTCAGCTCAACATAATCCTATGCCAAAATGGCATATTTGTGGGTAGTGTTTTTTTTTTTCTTCCAAGACCAGGAAAAAGGTGGAAGGGACCCCCAATAAGAGTCTCATATAGTGACAACTGCTCCTGCCCCTGCCCCCACCTCCACCCTTGGCCCTCCCAAACCTGGGGTCGTTAGTATGCCTTCAGGGTTAAGAGTGCTGACTGTCCTGGCAGACTGCCTGGGTTCACAACCTGACTACTCTCTAGCTGTGTGATCTTGAACATTTCAACTGTGCGGCTGAGCTTTCTTTCATTCAAAAGTTTGACAAAGCATAGTCATAAAAGGCATACTTACCACAAACTAATAATTTAAATTTATCAAGTCACTTAAGTTTCTAGGCCTTAGTTTCTTCTTTCTTTTTTTTTTTTTGGAAAGGATTTTGCTATAGGGCATGTGTGCTTGCCAGAAAGACAGAGAAAGATATAGAAAACCAGAAATCACCCCCCAGGGGGGATGGCCACACTGCAATTCCTTCTCCTCCATTCTCTTCTCAGGATCTTGGGCACGCACGCACACGTACCAGGCGTGAGTTTAAGCCACCGGGTTTGGGAATCAAATCACTGTCGACTACATGGGAGCCCAGTGACATAGCCATTATGCCAACTGCTGGTCCCAGTTTCTTCATTCTTAATGCAAGGGGTAGGGGTGGAGAGAGGGGGTGGGGGAGGTAAAATCCTTTTCTTTCAGGACTATTGGGAAGCTGAGGGTAGTGGAGATTGAGATGAATACAGGTTCAATATCTCTTATCTGAAGTGCTTCAGACCAGAAGTGTTTGAGATTTCAATTTTTTTTAAATTTTTTATTTTGGAATAATACTATATACACAGGGTATCTTGGGCATGGAACCCAAGTCTAAATACAAAATTCCTTTACGTTTCATATATACATTGTATGCATTGTCAGTCTACAGGTAATTTTAATATGATAAATTTTATTGCAGTATTTTGACTGCAACTTATCACATGAAGTCAGGTATGGATTTTTTTACTTTTGGTAGGTGTCGCGTTAGTGTCAGATGTATTGGATTTTGGAGCATTTCAGATTTTTGGGTTAGGGATGCTCAATCTGTTTTAGCTTTGACATTTATTGTGTGCCATATTCTGTCATATGGAACTTTACGTAGGTCTTATCTAAGGTTATCTAAGGGATTATTGGTCACCTTCTCTTATCTAACAGAGAAATCTTTCTGTTATACAGTCAAACAAGATGCATACTGCAAGCATTTGGGATTTAGTGACTTCCAGAACTGTCACTCTTTTCCAGAAACCTTTTTGGAGTTCACTACTTCCATTAGAAAGAGGAGTGTGGTCACAAGCTCAGCTTAGGATAAGGGGAGTTGCTGGTTAATTCACATTTCTAAGTTCTTGTTCCCTAGAGTAATGACTACTGGTTTATTTAATTTGTAGTACCAGTGAGATTTGTTAGAGGAAAACTGTTACATGGCAAATATATCCAGCAGAATGTGTGGCGAACAACTGGCATGTGTATCTAATTTTAACCGTACAAACCATCCTTTAGCAACAAACTTGTTCCTAAAATCATGCTGTTGAGTAGGCCTCCTGTTCCTTTCTAAAAATCCCTGTGATAGGAGCATCTTGTGATCTTGTCCTCTATTTGAAACAGAGTAAATCATAGAATGTGTGAAAGCTAGGGCCAGCTGGTAGCATGGCAGTCTACGCGACTGGATCCAGTATGGCCAGCTGACTGGTTTGAGTCCCAGACTTGGTGGCTAGAGAAATGCACCAGGTGTGTGTTTGCGCGTGCCCAGAATTGCAAGAGGAAAATGAAGAAGGGATTGTGGTGTGGCCTTTCCCCCATGGGGTGATTTCTCACTTTCTTTCTCTTCACTTTTTCTCCAGTGAGCACACAGGCTCTATAGCAAAAACAAACAAATCAAACCATCAGACAAACCCAGTATTTGTTAAAGCCAAAAACAACAACAACCCTCCGCCTCAGTTCCTAGTTTTATGAAGGACTGTACTGAGAAGCAGAATGGAACATTAGTTAATAACATGACCCTTCAAGCGTGCTTGCTTTGAGAATCCCAACCATGCCACTTACTGGCTGTGTGACTGTGCAAGTGTTTGCTCTGCTTCACTCTCCTCACTGGTAATGTGAACAAGAAAATCATTATTTTTTATTTATTCAAAAGTCATGACACATTTTTGCATAGAAAAAGATGCCATAGCTTATCCGATGACCCATTTTTTTCTCTTAGCTGTTCATTTCTCTACAGTTTGTGGCCAATGCAAATCAGTTCCATAACATGAGTCACTAAGAATCAAAACATAAATACACAAACACAGTATACACTCTAAAACAGACGCACAGCGTTCAGGTATGAAGCGAAGGGGAGTGTTCATTCACACAGTAGCTTCAGATCTGTTCAGTCTGGTTGTGCTCAGGTAGATTTTTAAAGATGAGGGAAAAGGACTTTGGTTATCAAGAAAACTGTGTCCATATTATATAATGGAACAGAATCTGAGGACTTTTTTTTTTGAAACCTTTTTGGAGTTCACTACTTCCATTAGAAAGAGGAGTGTGGTCACAAGCTCAGCTTAGGATAAGGGGAGTTGCTGGTTAATTCACATTTCTAAGTTCTTGTTCCCTAGAGTAATGACTACTGGTTTATTTAATTTGTAGTACCAGTGAGATTTGTTAGAGGAAAACTGTTACATGGCAAATATATCCAGCAGAATGTGTGGCGAACAACTGGCATGTGTATCTAATTTTAACCGTACAAACCATCCTTTAGCAACAAACTTGTTCCTAAAATCATGCTGTTGAGTAGGCCTCCTGTTCCTTTCTAAAAATCCCTGTGATAGGAGCATCTTGTGATCTTGTCCTCTATTTGAAACAGAGTAAATCATAGAATGTGTGAAAGCTAGGGCCAGCTGGTAGCATGGCAGTCTACGCGACTGGATCCAGTATGGCCAGCTGACTGGTTTGAGTCCCAGACTTGGTGGCTAGAGAAATGCACCAGGTGTGTGTTTGCGCGTGCCCAGAATTGCAAGAGGAAAATGAAGAAGGGATTGTGGTGTGGCCTTTCCCCCATGGGGTGATTTCTCACTTTCTTTCTCTTCACTTTTTCTCCAGTGAGCACACAGGCTCTATAGCAAAAACAAACAAATCAAACCATCAGACAAACCCAGTATTTGTT